GCCAACACCTGGGAAAATTCCTCCTCCCCAAGCTCTGCCGGCAGTTCCGATGTAACACACAAGTTGCTAGTTAAATGACCACCAGCCAAATACACTTTCCATCGCCATACTGCAGCTGTTCAGCTGGTAGATAGATAACTTCTCTCCGTTGACTTCATGGGCCTCAAAGGAATAAGCAGTTCATCAGATCCTGACAAGGACAGCGGGGTCGGCGGGTATGGCGGTGACCGGCGCGGTGGCCAGGCTCTGCTGCCAGCCTGTCGTGGCCATCGCTCCGCCGGCAGTAGAGCCAGCATCCCGGTTTCGCATCAAACACGAAAAGCTGTGAACCAGAAGAGGCTGTGACACCCCAGAGCCTTTTGCACCGCCGAGAACTGGGATCATTCCTTCTGCTCGGATCTTTCATCCTCCTCCCACCCCAAGTCAAGGGTCTTGAAAAATTTTAAATAATATTTTACCACTAGGAAGGAGCTGCTGGTTGATGTCAGTGAGGAGGGAAGGTCTAATCCTACGGCGTGTGAGCAAGGAAATCTGCTTTAGCCTGAGGCTTAGTACCCGCTGGCAAAGCACGTGGTGGCTTTGCTGCCTGCGGTCCTGCCCGGCGTGTGGGATGTCCCCGGTCACCTCAGGAGCGGTGAGCGGAGGCCGAAGGGTCCCGCACGCTTGGGTTTCTCTTTGCTTTACGATAAGAAGGAAGAGAAACTCCCCGGGAGACGATGTGGGCTTCTGCAGGGAAGTGCGTGCGGACCGTAACCCCCCGCCCCCTGCCCCCCCGATGGCTTTTCCTTGGGGATGCCCTCCGCCAAGCAGGGCTGCGCAAGGATGGGGTCGTGTTCAGGAGGTTCAAAACCAGCTCCTCGGTGCTGGTCGCCTTCGCCAGCAGCAGCGCGAAGCAGCGGGGCACGTCCTCGAGCGGGCTGGGAGCAGGCAGCAAGCAGGGGGGGGATGAGTCCCACCACCCCAACCTGCGCAGGGCTTCGTGCTTTGAAATTCGTTAGCGCTTGTCCTCCGAAGGGTGAATTAGGAATAGCCCAAGGCCACGTGCGCCGTGCGCCGGTGTGGTTTTGGAGGTTCGTGGTCCGTGGCGGGGCCCAGCGAGGTGATGTGCAGCGTGCCCCGTGCCCAGGGAGCTGCTGGGGGGGGG